GGATTCCGAAACTTTAAAAATTCTTAAAAAAAAGATACATTGGGGTTTCCCGTAAATGTTCAACCAAGCCTCTTTCGTTACTCCTCACTAAGTATTTACAGTAGTGAAAAAAAACTTCAGGAGTACTGTGCAACAATATACTCGAGAAGTGGTGTGAATCAGATGTGGATACTCAAAAATTCCAAAGAAATTTTGGACAATTTCAAATCCCAAGATTTTACCAAAATCAACAACTTTTTAAAAAACATACTTTTCAACTTTCTATACAACCTTTCCCCACGATAAATTGAAGTCCAGGCTTTTTGATATCATTGACAGCTGCTTTTTTTAAACAAGAAGCCCAAGGGCCTTGAATCGCTCTTCTGATAAATTATACAATCTATCCTAAGACCCAAGATGCATCAACTGACAAAGTTTGATGATTCTTAGCCAGTTAGGGCTGAAAATATTTAAATGTCACTATAAAATACCATAAGTAGGTCATGGTGACTTTCTTTTTGATTGAAATTTTCTGAGGACACAAGATGCATTAATTGACAAAGATTGATGATTCTAACCCAAAAACAGTACTTGAGATATTCTTTAAGTGGGTCACAGTGACCTTCTTATTAGTCAACATTCTCCAAAAACCCCAAAAGTGCATCAACTGACAAAGTCTGACAATTTCTAGAAATAAGTACCCTAGAATACTTAAATATAGCCATAAATTTCACAAGTAGGTCACCGTGACCTATTTTTCAATTATCATTCTCCAAGAACCAAATGTTAAAAATAACAAAGTTTGATGATTTAAAATAATACCTGAAATACCTAAATATAGCCAAAAATTGTAAAAAAGTAGGTCACCGTGACCTTTTTTTGGTCACATGATCCAAAAACCCAAGATGCATCTACTACAAAGTTTGAGATTCTAAGCCAATCAGTACCTAAAGATATTAAAAATAGGTCACCGTGACCTATTTTTTGGTAGACATATGAAAACTTAAGATGCATCACTACAAAGTTTGATGATTTAACCACTCAGTACCTGAGATATTCAAAAGTCGGTCAAGTGACCTACTTTTTGGTCGCCCAAAAACCTAAAACCCAAAAATTTTATGTTTCAAGCCAAAGTTGAGATAAAAAAATCTAAATAAAATTCAAAAATGGAAACCCCTTTTGCCCAAAATTGAAAAAAAAAAGATTTGGTGATTCTAAACCTCTAGTGTCTTAAATAAGGGATTAAATGTTTTAAAAAGATTAGCCCAATTAAAAATTCCGAATTTTGTTGATTTTGTTTGTGGACCAAAGATGACCAACTGACAAAGTTTTATGATCATAGGCCTTAAAGTGTCCAAAATATGCCTCCAAATCAATTTGAAAACTAAAGCCCGTAAAATTTAAAAAGTAGGTCACCGTGACCTACTTTTGTTTTAACATGATGTCATGTCCTTAGATGCATCAACTTACAAGATTTAATGACCCTAGTATTTATATTAAGCAAAATATCAACGTTTTTATTAAGTGTAAATTTTGGTCAACTTTGAAGTGACCTTGAGACCACGCCCTTTGCCCCAGGGTCATGCCTTGAACAATTTTTAATCCTCAACATATCCCGATCCTTGTATGTAAGTTTGGTGAAAATCTGCCTGGTGATTCTGGAGAAGACTTTTTAGCAACCAGTACTTTTGGTTTCATTTTCCTGATTATCTCCTTTTGTTTTAGGGTTCCACCCCTAGTTTTAGTATAAATGGTAGCCCTTGGGCCAAGGATACCCTGTGACAAATTTGACAATGATTGGCCAAGGGATTCTTGAGATATGGCCCATATTGTAAAAAGTATGTGTATGTACACTACACAAATGGCCATAACATTTAAGCTCTTTGAGACTTTGGCTCAGAAGAAGGCTCAATAAAAATGGAACTCGTAAATTTATTTACCTGGTCATTGGTCATTTGCAAAATCAATTTGTTAAAACACATACTAGGATTGCACAAACAAGTACTCTGAAGTTGACATCAAAGAGATGATTGAGTTTCTGATTGACAATATCTATGTGGTTTTTGGAGACCAGGTATTCCAACAATCTACTGGAATTCCCATGGGTACCAATTGCGCTCCGTTATTAGCGGACCTTTTTTTATATTCACATGAAGCAGGATTTGTGCAAAATCTTATGCGTGAAAAGAAGGAAACAATTGCTGTGGCCTTCAACTCGACATTCAGATATATCGACGACGTATTGTCAATTAACAATGGTAATTTCATTCCTACGTCGATACGATATATCCTGGTGAGCTTGAGATAAAAGATACCACAGAGTCTGACACATCTGTTTCATACTTGGATATTTTACTTGAAAAGACGTTAATGGTAATCTAACAACCAAGCTATATGATAAACGTGATGACTTTAACTTTTCTATCGTCAACATCCCTTACTTATGCAGCAATATAACTTCATCACCTGCATACGGAGTGTATATCTCTCAGTTGATTTGATACGCAAGTGCTTGCTCTACGTATGAACAATTTCTAAAACGAAGTAAATTATTGACAGGTAAGTTGATGAAACAAGAATATCTGCCGTCTCGTTTAAAGCCAATTCATTTCGTAAGTTCAATGGTCGATACAATGACCTTGTTAGCAAATACAATTTATCATTGAGTCAAATGCTGACTGACGTTTTCCATACTAACTGTTAGTCCATTATTTATACACTGAATTGACGGCGGATTTTTCCGTTATTTCCTGATCATGATAAGGAGCACTTAGCGGGTGTAACCAGTCAGCAGGGGATGCTCACTCCTCCATGGTACCTGATCTCACCTCTGATGTTTCGGAGGTCAGTGTTTGCTCTGATCTTATTATGTATTGTTTTATGGACTTTGAGATTGAATACTATTCGTTATCTCCATATCCTTCACAAGAAATACAATTGTGAAAAATTATGAAAGCCGTAGTACCACTTGTTCAAAAGTTATGGCCAGGGTTAAGGTTCTTTTAAAGGTATGTCAAACTCCAAGGTCAAGGTCAAAGGGTCAAAATTGTTGGATTCTAAAGAAAAGGCTTGTCACAAATATTATGAATGTGAAGGATGAAAGCCTTTGCCCTTACCTTTCAAAATTTATGACCAAGGTTAAAGTTTTAAAAAAGACGGTCAAACTCCAAGATTAAGATCAAAGTTCTTGGTATCCAATGAAAAGTCTTGTCACACTGATACAATATGTGAAGTATGCAGGCCCTATCCCTAACCCTTCAAAAATTATGGTCAATAATTGTTTTTTTTATGTTGTTCAAACTCCAAGGTCTATGTAAATAGGTCATTATGTTGGTATCCAATGAAAGGGCTTTTTACAAGGATTACACCTGTGAAGAATGAAAGCCTTAGCCCTTACTGTTCAAAGGTTATGGCCAAGGTTTTTTTAAGTATATAAATCTCCAAGGTCAAATTTGTTGGTATCCATGGAAAGATCTTGTCACAAGGATTACATATGTGATGTTTGAAAGCCCTAGTATATGTCATTCAAAAGATATTACCAAAGTAAAAGTTGGGAAATTTTGTGAAAAAGTGTGTCAAACTCCTAGGTCAAATTTGTTGGTATCCAAAGAAAAGGCCATGTCACAAGAAATACACATGTGAAATATGAAAGTCATGGATCCACTAAATCAAAGGTATGAGCAAGTTTTGCAGACAGACACAGACAGACAGATAGACGGAAGGACACGAGATGATTTTAAAAAAATTAATACGAAGAAAGCATGCCAAAACTTAATATTTGAATGCCCCCGTAAACGAAGATTCGGGAGTATATAGTTTTTGCCACGTCTGTCTGTCTGTCTCTTTGTCCGCACATATGAATTCTGTGTTAAAAGATCTTTCATTTGATAAAACAATTTTGGCCTTTAGACCATGACCTTGGAGATTGACCTGCTTTTAAAAAACTTTAACCTTGGCTATAACTTTTGAACGTAAAGGGCTAGGGCTTTCAAACTTCACATATGTTATTCTTGTGACAAGACCTTTAATTGGGTACCAACAACTTTGACTTTGGAGATTGACCTACTCTTACAGAAATTTTAACCTTGGTCATAAGTTTTGAACGGTAAGGGATAAGGCTTCCATACTTTACATGTGAATCCTTGTGGCAAGACCTTTCATTGGATACCAACAACTCTGACCTTTTAACCTTGACCTTGGCCTACTTAAAAAAAATAACCTTGGCCATAACTTTTATGGGGTAAGAGCTATGGCTTTCATACTTCACATATGTAATTGTTATGACGAGCAGTGCACAAAATTGTGAATGGCATGGCCTCTGTTTTAAAACAATGTCGCCCGCATGGCGCAGTGGTTAGAGCGTCTGCTCTAGAGTCGCGAAGTAAGGAGTCAATCCTTACGTCCCGGGTTCGAATCCCACTGCAGGACGTGGAGATTGGTCGTTCGGATGAGACCGTATAAACCGAGTCGCAGTAAGAGCAAGAAAAACGTCATTCACTGCTCAATGGCCCTAAGTGCCGAGTAAAGGACAAAATTTGCAGCTCTCCACCGGCAAATGGTGGCGTCTCCATATGAGTGAAAAATTCTCGAGAGGGACGTTAAACAATATACAATCAATCAATCAATCAAATTCAATGGTTGGAAAGATGTTATATGAGATCAAGTGACCTACAAGACCCATGGACTTCTTGTTTAGATAAACTAGCTGTATTTCCTTGTGACAAAGTACGACATAAAAGTCATGCAGATTTTACTTATAAAACAGAAGACTTTTTCCACACCATAGACCAATAATTATAAAGAAAAACCAAGCAAGTCAGCAGGAGAGAAGAAAGGATTTTAAACATAGTGTCTGTTGTATTCAAGAACATTAGACATTAATGCTTTGCGCAAGTTACTAGTATATTTAAATTTTTATGGTGTGCACGATTGACCTTAGGCTAAGATTTTTTGAATGTTTATGACCAGGTTATGATTATCATAAACTGTTCTCTTTTTAGAAAAAAAAAATCAAGAGGGTGAATAATCTAAAAATCTCTTCAATACATTAAAATTGCATCTGTCCATTATTTTGGAATCAGATTCAAGGATGGCATCAAAACTTCAAAATGGCCGGTTTTGCAGATATAATATCCAGCACTGTTTTCAATGTGAGTATGACGATAGATTCTTTATCCTGTCGTTGTGTTTTTATTTTATATCACGGGGAAGATGAAGAATCGGGTCATTGAAGAGTAACTGGTCGTCCTACTCATCCAAGGATCCTTACATGGAAATTCACAAAAACATAGGCCTGCATTAACTGAAAGAAAATAGAAAAAAAAGAAATATAAGAATTAAAAATTTAAACACCAAGATACAACCAATATTTTATTTAAATTTTGTGTATTCAAGTATTGCGGCCTTAGTAAAATACTGTAAATGCATTTTAAGCCACATGAATTGTCATTTTGTAAATTTTGAATTTACCGGGTGGCAGTAAAAAATAAAATGCTGCTACACTGTATCCGGTAATTTAAAACATAAGATTTACAAAATGACGGTATTGTACAAATAAGGCTCAATCATGAGGTCGATCCATAGACAAATTTCACAGAAAAGCATATCGACCGAGCACGAATATAACATAACAAATGTATATAGTCCTTTCATTCGGTCAAATTACTAACAAATCAGCTTCACGGAAAAGCATTTCCTGCAGGAAAACAATTATTCAAACCTATTTCAAGATTATTTTTTAACATATGGACGTCTTACACATAGTGAAACTCAGAAAGGAAAACTAGGAGGTTACAAACAGTAATATGGAGACTTTTTTTTGTTTTCAACAATGGAAGATCGCAAAAGAAAATGATGTCGTCACACAGCCTTCAATGCCTTAATTATGCAAATCCCGACTATATAATAAAACAATTATGGACTCTTTTGGTGTTGAATATGGTTTGTCATTCACCAGAAAATATTCATATTGACCGAGGCGAAGCGCTGGCGCTTCATGAAAAATATGCCTACGTGCAAGTCTGTGTGATTCACACACCAATAATTCACACTACACTGAAAAAACATTCCTTGTATTTACATTTTACATGTTCGGAAGCAACTAAAATATACTCAATATTTGAATTTCTCGCTGCCCTATATCGCTGCATTTTTACTAACGTCGCTGCAGCCTCATAGTGAGGTCACGTTAACGCACGTTTTCTCCGTGTATATTTCTACGCGTGAATATACTTAAGAAATAAGGTATCATTTTTTGAGTTTTATTGAGATGTAAAACGGGCTTTATGGGAGATTTGATCATGTGCCAACCCGTTTTTATGGAACGCCAAATTAACATGTATTCAAATAATTGCACCTATCTTCAAATAATTGTACCATCTTCAAATGAATTGAAGATAGGTACAATTGAATTAAAGATAGGGCCAATTGAATTAAAGATAGGTACGATTGAATTGAAGATAGGTATAAATAATTATACCTATCTGTAAATAATTATACCTACATACAAATGAATTATACCTATCTTTAATAGAATTACACCTATCTTTAATTTAATTAAAGATAGGTTCAATAGACCGTTTCACGGTAAATGCGGTACTGCTCTTTTGCAGGGCAAAATCATATAGTTTGGTGAAATATGACGTAAAGGTAATTGTTAGAGATACGTCATTTAATTATCTGTCTACAAAAACTTCGCCAAACGGTATTATTTTGCCCTGCAAAAGTGTAGTACCGCAGTTACCGTGAAGGGGCTATTGAATTATACCTATCTCTAATTCATTTGAAGATATATATAATTGATTTGAAGATATGTACAATTGATTTGAAGATAGGTTCAATTAAGACATATCCACAAAGGATTTAAAGATAGGTACAATTCAATTATACCTAGGTTCAATTCGTTTTATGTTGTTGGTAAATAATGAACGCTCCCTTGGAGACAATATTGAGTATGGAGGGAAACACACAGAACCTACAGAGCGACGACACAAGGATGAAAGGAGAAATAAAGGTTAATTCAAAATGTGCAAAAAGCATCATATACTTATAAAAATACACATGTACATCATGTAAGTTTATCTTGTATTGCAACCAGATGAAGATTCCGATAAACTTTCGCGCCAGCTGTGACGTATCGGAAATGACGTATGATAAAGGGAGTAGTTGTTATTGCCAATATCTTAGTAATTAAAGATAGGTTCAATTAATTGTCCCATCTTTAAATCAATTATACCTATCTACAATTCATTGCATTTGTACCTATCTTCAAATCAATTTTACCTATCTTCAAATGAATTAAAGATAGGTATAATTAATTGTACCTATCTTTAATTCATTTAAAGATAGGTACAATTGATTTAAAGATAAGTACAATTCATTTGAAGATAGGTACAATTCAATTGAAGATAGGTACAATTATTTGAAGATAGGTACAAATATTTGAATATATGTTAATTTGGCGTTCCATACGTTTTACATCTCAATAAAACTCAAAAAATGATACCTTATTACTTATATTTACATTTGTGACTTATTCATACTTTAAATTTGCCTGATTGTTATTTTTAACGTGCGAAATGCGTTATATTTCAAACCCAACGGCATGTATGTAATCCACTAAACGCGCGTCACTCGGATGACTCGTACCTCGCACATAACCTCGGACGTCAACGGTGATCTACCATCTTGCTGATTCAGTCATGTGATTTATTTGAATTCTTTCAAATGTCATACATTTGAAATCGGAGTTATTTTGTGGCACACTCAACAGTTTTTTCTTGCTTTCAAAGCCTGTTAACATGAGGATGTAATCAAAACCTGTTTACGATAAAGAATTGCATAAATTAAGAAACATTTTCGAAGAACGTTATGCAGAGCGAAATATGAAATGAGTGATAAGGCAGTTTCCGGCGGAGAAATGTAGGATTGTTGCGTATTCCTACCAATCACATCCGAGGTTTGAATGGGGCGGAGCGGAGTCAGCCGAGGATTGCCGATTGAACGCGCGTCGACCCTTTATGACGTCACACAGAGATTACGTCGAACGTTTATCCAACCGCACATCATGACCTCTTGACCCTGTACCTGTATTTATTTAAGGAATGAAGCTTATTTCAAATTTTGTTATCCAATATAACATAACTTGGGGCAGTTAACGCTTTATAAACCGCGAAGCGGTTTATAAAAAAGGTAAATGCCCAGTTATGTTATTTTCCCCCGCTTGAAAAGTGGGGATATTAATTTGGGTTTTCCGTCCGTCCGTCGTCCCTCGTGTCGTCGTCCGTCCCTCTTTCTGTCTGTCTGTAACGCTTTCGTTTCCACACGATATCTCGAGAATCCTTTGAGCTTTCGCAATGAAAAATTTCATGCAACTCCCTATGGACTAAAGAAGACCCCCATTGATTTTAGGTCAAAGGGTCAAAGATCAAGGTCATAAATTCGCAAATCTTGTCTGTTATAACACTTTCGTTTCCACACGATATCTGAGAACTCTTTAAGCTTTTGCACTGAAATTTTACATAACAACTCTCTGTCGCCTAAGGAAGACCCATATTGATGTTGAGGTCAAAGGGTCAAAGTTCAAGGTGAAAAATTTATACATTTTGTCTGTGTGTAACACTATCCTTTCCGGGCGATATTTCAAGAAAATTTGAGCTTTTGCAGTGGAATTTTTCCAAAAGTCCCCAACCCCCTAATGTGTCCCGCCCCGTTGTTTATAAGTATTTATTGTATTACATGTCGCTATTTTTAGCACAGGGACATGAGAGAGTTATCACGTATAAACAGGTTCTCGGCGGACTCTATATTCTTATTACATCTATTAGAACTGTTTAATAAAGGTTAAGTTAGACATGCACCATGCATTGTATTAAATTTTGAAAATATCAACGTTATTATATGCGCTTCATCTTTATATATAGTGACAGCTTAAATAACTTGCATACATAGAGCGATTCCATGGCGCAGTGGTATTTTCGTTTCACATGTGGGCAAACCGGGTTCGACTTCGGGCGATGCATCATTTTTTTTTTTTGAAATATTAGTTTTACTAAATGATAGTACCCGCATGTGAAGTGAAAAATTTATAAAGGTGTGGCTTCTACAAACTCATAAAATCATCATCACAGAGTGATAAATATTCCATATAAAAAGAATCTTTATACACATAATAAAGAATAAGCAATCAAATCTTTATATTCCATATTGGCATATTTTATTTGCCTCAGTATACATGTATACATTTCATAATTTTTCAACTTAGTCAGGGGACCGACCCCCCCCCCCCCCGAACTGCGCATGGTTTACGTTTTCCCTAAGCGGGGGACACAAATATTCTTGAATTAGCTTGTTTCGTATAACATAAGTTGAAATATGCTTATTCCTTATAATTTAATTTCAACATAGACAATAAGACAATTTTTCCATTTTTTTCTTTCGGAAAAAGGCTTGAAATATCGCATTTTTAAAAGTTAACGGTAAGCGGAGTAATATGTTTTTGAGCAACTCATTTACAGGGAAGTTATTATCAAAAATAAAACCTTAACCAATCAATAGTGTTAAACAAAAATTTAAAATTTTACAGTTATAAAAACGCTTGCTTTCAGTAGTGTTATATAAAGGAAAACATTTGCAAATGTAAATATACAAAAATGACTTTCAAATCAATTTCACAGTTGGCTTAGTAGAAAGACAAATGTAAATATATTCTAATGGAAAAAGTGACCAGTACCATAATTTTGTCACAAAGGGAAGCATCAAGGTGCATTTTTTTAATGTTATTTTTTCATATATAAAGTTTACATAAGATACACTTCACAAAACTAAGTACACATTCACTGATAAGTTATGTACAAAGTACGTTTTTGAAGATATCAGGAAGTAAAAAGATAGTAGTAGGGAGCAGTTTCTGCCGACTCGTATGAAAAGAAAAATCAGTTGCCTAACCAGATTTTCATAAGCCCGATCCCGCTGTAAATCAGTAAAAGGTTAATTAAGTAATTAATAAAACTCATTAAAAAATTCTATTTTTAAATCACTAGTATTATTGTAAGTAAATGGCATATTTCGAAGAATATATTCTTTATATTTTCATTTATTTATCTAGATTTATTACTAATTTCTAACTAATTTACTTACTTTACTTTACTTTTAAATTTCACTTACCAGGCGATGATCTAGAATTTTTTAAAGGAGGGGGGGTTGAAGAAAAAGAGTTTTTACAATTTACACTTTACATATACATGCAGTTTCAGGCACGTAGCAACGGGGGGGGGGTGCCCTTTTTTGCCTAATATTACTTATACTATAGGAAATGTTCATTGAAAGGCTGGTTGCCCCCCCCCCATTTTTTTTTGTGAAATAAGGAAATGTAGTATTAGAGGTCAAAAGAACTGCAGGAAGTTGGCATTGAAAACTGTTGCTTCAAACCCCATACCCCCCCCCCTTAATAGGATTTTTGACTTTGGGCAATTTGGGTTTTTTTTTTTTTTGGTTTGTTTTTTTTTCTTGTAAACATTTTTAAGTAAGTAAATTTTTTTGCTGCCCTTTCAAAAACGATGATACTTGGCTTAGTTTTAAAA